AGTAACAACAAGTTGTGCTTCCAGAAGCGCAGTGAAGTGACAGACTGCTGCAGGGAGTGAGGCCTGCTGCTGTCCAGGCCTACCTCTGCCTGCATCAAAGTCCATGGGTTAGCGGATGGCTCTCAGACTAACCATGTTCCCACAGCAGCTTTATCATAAATAAAAATGGCATTTGATCTCCACTGTGTCTAACCTAAGAAACCCTGGCAGCGCGGTGATTAAGCTCTTGCCTGCTAACCAAAAGGTCAGTGGTTTGAACCCGTCAGCCACTCTAAGGGAGAAGATGTGGCAGTCTCTATAAAGATTTACAGACTTGGAAACCCGACAGGGCAGTCTACTCTGCCCTATAGTGTTGCTATGAGCTGGAATTGACTTGACAGCAATGGGTATGGTTTGGGATCTCTGACGTCGACACACAAAAGGAGCTTTACCAGTTGATCCTTCATACCCAACGTTTTGGTTGATCCCCTCTATTGTTTCTTTGTTCTCTATACATTTATGCACGTTTTAAATTTTTTTTTCCTTCTACTTTTATGGCACTTATTCTGGATTTTTTTCCCCTAACTACTTGAGTCCACCACGTGTCTGTCAGTTTATCGTACTATGATGGCTTACATGTTACTGTGAAAACTGGAAGTTTTGCCACCGGTATTTCTAACACCAGCAGGGTCACCCTCGGTGGACAGGTTTCAGCGGAGCTTCCAGACTAAGACAGACCAAGAAGAAGGATCTGGCAGTCTACTTCTGAAAAAACTGGCCATTGAAAACCTTATAAATAGCAGCAGAACACTGTTTGATATAGTACTGAAAGATGAGCCCCCCAAGTTGGAAGGCACTCAAAGTATGACTAGGGAAGAGCTGCCTACTCGGAGTAGAGTCGACCTTAAGGACACGGATGGAGTCAAGCTTTTGGGATATTCATTTGCTGATGTGGCATGACTCATAATGAAAAGAAACAGCTGCAAACATTCATTAATAATCAGAACATGGAATGTACGAAGTATGAATCTAGGAATATTGGAAGTTGTCAAAAATGAAATGGAACACATAAACATCAATATCCTAGGCATTAGGTGAGCTGAAATGGACAGGTATTGGCCATTTCAAATCAATCATATGGTTTACTATGCCAGGAATGACAAATTGAAGAGGAATGGCATCACGTTCATCATCAAAAAGAACATTTCAAGATCTATCCTGAAGTACAATGCTGTCAGTAATAGAATAATATCCACACCCTTACAAGGAAGATCAGTTAACTACGACTATTATTTAAATTTATACATCAACCACTAATGCTAAAGATGAAGAAACTGAAGATTTTTACCAAATTCTGCAGCCTGAAATTTATCAAACATTCAATCAAGATGCACTGATAATTAATGGTGATTGGAATGCAAAAGTTGGAAACAAAGAAAAAGAATTGGCAGTTGGAAAATAAGGCCTTGGTGATAGAAACAACACCAGAGATTGCATGATAGAATTTTGCAAGACCGATGACGTCTTCATTGCAAATACCTTTCTTCAACAGCATGAACAGCGACTATACGCATGAACCTCACCAGATGCAACACATGGGAAACAAATCAACTACATCTGTGGAAAGAGACAATGGAAAAGCTCAGTATCATCAGTAAGAACAAGGCCAAGGGCCAGCTGTGGAACAGACTATCAATTGTTCATATGCAAGTTCAAGCTGAAGTTGAAGAAATTAGAACAAGCTCACAAGAGCCAAAGTACGACCTTGAGTATATCCCACCTGAATTTAGAGACTATCTCAAGAATAGATTTGACACGCTGAACACTAATGACTGAAGAGCATCGTAGTTGAAATCCATTCGTTTATAATGGAACAAAAAAACAAACCATTAGTCCCACCTTTGGAGGCTGCTAGGGTCGCTATGAGCTGGAATCACCTTGACGGCAACGGGTTTGGTTTTTGGTTTAGGGAAACATCTCGTTATTTTGGAAATTAGCAAATAAAGCGAAAGAATCAAGACGAGTCGTGAATTGACATCAAGGACGCTGTACATAAAGAAAGAGGTTATTAAAAAGACAGGAAGGAAAGAAAAGACCAAAACGGATGTCAGAAGAGACTCTGAAAGTTGTCCTTGAACAGTCGCCATGTGAGGACCGTCTATGAACCAAGACACCAAGAAGCACCCAGGGTTACTGACAAGGAGGGAATCCACAGGGCTATGATCCTGATTTGGACTTTTAGCCTCCTGAACTGTGAGAAAATAAATTTCTATTCATTAAAGCCACCCACTAATGGTATTTCTGTTACAGCGGCACTCAAAGACTAAGACAGAAGGGACTGCCAATTTCTGATCTTGTGGCATTATGGTCAGAGAATGACATAAAATTAGATTTGATATGGATTCTCTAGGTAAATGGTGATGCTGGCTTGGTAGCCTAATATATGATCTGTTCTTATAAGTTTCAAGGTGTGCTTGAAAATAATGCATATTCCCTAGATTAGGGGTACAGGTATTATAAGATCATCTTTTTAAATTATACTTCAATATTCTCATTAATTTGTTTCTGCTTGCATTATTAATTTACTGAGAGAGGTGTGTTAAAATCTCCTATGATTGTGGGTTTGTCAATTTTTCCTTCTAAGTCTGTCAATTTTTCCTTTATATTTTCAGGTTATATTGCTAGAGGTTCACAAGTTCTAAATTGTTCATTTTCCTGGTGAATTATTGCCTCTTTATCCTTAGTAATGCATTTGCCTTAACATCTCTTCTGTCTGATGCCAATATTGTTAAACTACTTTCTTCTGGTTAGTATTTCCTTAATGTCATGGATAGAATTATGTCTCCCCAAAAATGTGTGTATCAATTTGGCTAGGCCATGATTCCCAGTATTCTGCAGTTGTCCTCCATTTTGTGATTGTAATTTTACGTTAAAGAGGATTAGGGTGGGATTGTAACACCACTCTTACCCAGCTCACATCCCTGATCCAATGTAAAGGGAGTTTCCCTGGGGTGTGGCCCGCACCACTTTTTCTCTCTTAAGAAATAAAAGGGAAGCAAGCAGAGAGTTGGGGACCTCATACCACCAAGGAAGCAGTGCCAGGAGCAGAGCGTGCTCTCTGGACCCGAGGTTCCTACGCAGAGAAGCTCCTAGTCTAGGGGAAGACTGATGATGATGAGGACCTTCCTCTGGAGGCGACAGAGAGAGAAAGCCTTCCCTTGTAGCTGATGGCCTGAATTTGGACTTGTAGCCTACTAGACTGTGAGAAAAGAAATTTCTCTTTGTTGAAGCCATCCACTTGTAGTATTTCTGTTATAGCAGCACTAGATAACTAAGCCACTTAACATATTTTCTTTTTTTCACCTTTTACTTTCTACCCCAAGAGGCAGCAGTGGTTCCAATCCAGCTTTGCCCCTTGTGCCTGGACGAAGGCAGGACAACTGATAATCAATAAAAGTAAAAATGTTACTTGGTGTGTTTCTGGGCATCGTAGTTTAAATCCATTAGTTTGTAACAGAACAAAAAAACAAGACATCCATCCCACCTTTGCAGGCTACTAGGGTCGCTATGAATTGGAATCAATTTGACGGCAATGGGTTTGGTTTCTGGTTTAGGGGAAATACCTTATTATTTTGGAAATTAGTAAATAGAGGGAAAGAATCAAGCCCTATCCTACCTTTGCTATACAAACCGCACTTCCAGATACCCAGACAGTTGACGAGGGGAAGCTTCTCTTTAGGGAAGCATTCCAGCTCACAAAGGAAGAAGGCACAATGGAAGAAGAATGTCACACACTGTGCAACCTGGAATGAAATAATCCATCTATTGGCAGGAGCCACAGTGGCTGCTGACCCGGCGGAGGAAGAAGCACCCAGACCTGGTGGGGCTACACCACTGGCCCCAGCTGTGACCAACGCATACCAAAACAAATTAAAAATCAAACATGCATCTGATCAAGCATTGGATTTAACTCCCAATTTACAGGAAAAACAAGGGCAAGAGGAATCCTTAAATGTCACCACCGGGACATGAAAGCAAAGTCCAGACTGTGGGAACTCTACAGGACAAACAACGTGGCGCCTTCAGAAAATAAACTGAGAAGGAAGCACAGAGGTGGGGGGTAGGGGGACAACTACAGATTTAAAGAGACTGAAATTCTAAGCCAGACACAAAAGGACGCATAGCGTATGATCCCACATATGTCAAATATCTAGAATAGGCAAATTCATGGAGACAGAAAGTAGATTAGAGGTTATGGGGGGAGTTATTGCCTAATGGGTACAGAGTTTCTGTTTAGGGTGATGAAAACGTTTTGGAAATAATAGTGGTGATGGTTTCAAAATAGTAATAATGCTGTTGTTGTGTGCCATTGAGTCGATTGCAACTCACTGTGACCTTACAGACAGAGTAGAACTGTTCCATAAGGTTTCCTAGGCTGTAATCTTTACAGAAGCAGATCGCAAGGTCTTTTCTCCAGAGGACCCTCTTGTGGGTTCAAACCGCTGAGCTTTTGGTTAGCACCTGAGCGCTTAACCATTACAACATCGGGGCTCCTTAATAATAATAGTAAATAAAGAGACTTAAGATTCATACCATCCCATTACAATATATGGACCTTACTAAGATCCAGATTTGAACAAACTATAGAAAAAAATTTATGAAGTTATTAGGGAAATTTTAACATTGTCTAGATATTTGATGACATTAAGAAATTATTATTAACTTTTAGGTGAGATAATATTATTGAGTCTTTTTTAGAAAAGATTCCTTAGTCTTTTAGCTACACATAGAGCTATATTTATAGATATCATGTCTGGGATTTTCCTCAAAATAATCCTGGTTGGGAGAAAACTGGGTCAGGATAGAGTTGATAGCTGAGCAGTTGATGCACTGATTCATTATACTGTTCTCTTAAATTCTGTATACGTTTGAAATTTTTCATAGTAAATTAAAAAAAAATAACAGATTTTAAAAACTCTGTAGAGCTGGGACTGCTCACTCACCCTGTGCACAGCACATACCAGCATCAAAGGATCCATCTTTGTTAACTGAAACGAGGATGTGAGACAAGGAGCCCGAGCTGGTCTTCCTGGCCTCGTCCAGCTTGACCAGCTGCAGCCGGGGGGTGGTCGTGGGTGGGAAGCGGTAGAACTGGAAGGTGAAATACACAGTCTTTGGCCACGGCGTTCCCCTGTGGTCCTGAGATACTCTGGATCCAACAACAGCTCTGAATTAATCAATTATCCGTCGCAGGAACCGGGGCTGCCGTCACGCACTTGCATGGTGACCCAGCCTGGGCCCTGCAGGGGTGGCAGTAAGTAAGATGACACCTCAGCCACCAACACGAACAGCTTCGCTGAGCTCTTAGTGAGCAGCTGGACTTGCACACACTTCAGGCATGACGTCTCTCCTGGCTGGAGAGCGCTGCTCCTGGAGCTACACTAATGTCTGGGACTACCTAGCACACTGTCCACATTCTAACTAAGGACCACAGAAAGTCGAGCAAAACATGGTGTTAGGGACTGAGTTGTGTCCCCACAAAATATGTGCTGGAATACTCACCCTTCTGCCTGTGGATGGAATCCCATTTGGGAATAGAGTTTTCTTTGTTATGTTAATGAGGCCATACCAGTGTGGGGGGGGGTGTCGTAAATCTACTCACTTCTGAGATATAAAGAGCAGCATAGACACAGAGACATGTGAGCACAAATGGGGTAAAGACAGATGTCACACCACATGAAGGTCACCAAGGAACAGAGGAACAGAAGTTGAAGAGAGACAAGGACCTTCCCCCAGAGCTGAAAGAGACAGAAAGCCTTGCTCTAGAGCCGGTGCACTGAATTCAGACTTCTAGCCCCCTAAACTGTGAGAAAAATAAATTTCTATTTGTTAAACCCACCCACTTATGGTATTTCTGTCACAGCAGCCCTAGCAGGCTAAGACACACGGCTTGAGGGGTGGGGTCCTAGCTAAAATAAAACAGACAGATGGCAATCCTTAATCTAATAAGACCCGGACACAGAGAGCTCCACCAAGTCAGAGCTACGTAGACATTTCTATTCAACACGCCAAGAAATGCATGAGCCAGAAAGACAGTGGCATAGAAAGAATACTCAAGAATTTACCTGCTAAAGGCAAGAAACTGTAGCACTATTTCGTTGCTCTGCAGACAGTCTGATTCTTCCTTCTGAGGGCTGAACTTCACGGGCTCTGTGGGATTCACGGCCTCAGCTGGTTGCTTATTGGCATCCAGAATCTCTGGAAAGCCGGAGGACTGCAGGAGCACCATCGAGGCCCGGGAGAGCGCGCTTCCGGAGCTGGAACGGAAAGCAGTCCTCAGCCAGCAGCCCGAAGACTGGGAAACAGATCTCTTTTTGGAAAGCCTATTGCTCAGAGTATAAGACAGGGCTGACACATAAGCACTTGCCTGGTCCAAACCCCATCAGAGCCAACGCCTCACCTTCTGGCCTGGGCCCCAACAACGATCGGGGCATGCAAGGGCGTGAAAGGCAGCTCCTGCAACTGTTCGGCAACACAGGTGTCCAAGACCACAGAAGTCTGGCTCAGATCAGCTTCCAGGTGAGAGATCCTGCCCTCAAAGGGGAGCTCCTGCCAAACGAAATGAGGACCCCAGGTGGGGCCAAAGAGGATTCCAACCTGTGACAACCGTGTTCCAATTTAAGGGGACTTGTTGGGCTACCAGATTTAGCAAATAAAAACATAAGAGGCTCGGTTAAATTTCAATTCCAGGTAAACAATGAATAATATAAGTATGTCCCATGCAGTATTTGTTGTTGTTGTTAGGTGCCATCAAGTCGATTCCAACTCACAGCAACCCATAGGACAGGGTAGAACTTCTCCATACGGTTTCCACAGCTGTAATCTTTAGGGGAGCAGATTGCCACATCTTTCTCCTGCAGAGCAGCTGGTGGGTTCAAACCACTGACCTTTCGGTTAGAGGCCAAGCACTTTAACCACTGTCCCACCAGGGCTCTTAATTGGGATATACTTATACTAAAATACTATTTGTTGCTTATCAAATTCAAGTTTAACAAGTTAAACTGAGTCTAAACACAATGGGGATGGACTCATCGATTTTATGAACAGGTCAGTTCCATGGCAGATATCTGATACCTGAGATGCTAAAATAACACAAAGCCATGTGTCACAGAACAGAAAGATGACACACGTCCTTCAACACTCAGAGGTGACCTGTGGTGCCAAGCCCCTGCTGGTGTGCACAGCAGTTTATCTTGTCCCCACATCACCTGAGTATTCTAGTCATTCACTTGTGTTCCACCTTCCACGTCCCTCCAAAGCACAAGACTTATGTCTAGATGAAGAGCATATTTGGGAGCCAGGTGTCCAGAATGTTCTCTTTCAAGCCTGAGTCCCAGGCTTTCTGTTTTAATTCAAAAGTAACACCACACGGCCAGATGGAAACCCAACACAGGTCTCAGGTGCCAATAATAGATACGCAAGCTCTTCATAAATACATGAGCCCTAGCATGTTCTAGAATAAGGCATGTCATAACATTATCAGTGTTCCCAAATGAGTGGTTAACTGGAGCTATTTTTCTTCAACATGCTTCCAGTGAAAGACTGCAGTTTGCAGGTTTTTGAGACAAAACTCCTTGTGAATCCCCAGGGTCAGTGGAAGCACAGGCCTATTTTAGCCATTCAATCCATCTGAACCCAGGAGGGTGGGTTTTGCTAACTCTCCTTGAGCTGCTGTGCCGGCAAGGACAGCGTGCCTGGGGGCTGAGGCCTATGTCCGTCTATTTATATCTCCAGCACATCGTTCTTTTCCTTTCGTGCGCTGAGATTCTAAGGGCAGTTTAACTTTGTCTTATCAAGGAGAGCAAAAACCTGAGTCGAGCCTGTGGCAGGAACAGCTTCGAGGGCCAAATTCCCCCTTGGTCTCCCTCCTCAAAGACACCACGGTGGTTAAGCACGGCCTGAAGCTGAGAGTACAGCATTCACCCACAAAGTCCCTGTAACCCCCATCACAGCAAGCCCAATGACGTCTCCGTCAACTAACGAGGACAAGCAGAATTCACAAAACAAAATATTTCAGCACAAGGCAGTAGTATGGAGCCATCCTCATAACAGAAGTTGGAAATGGGAGGCATGGGGGGCACTTACCGCCTGGGCTAGGACGGGAGAGGGCCTGGATGACCGGTGCTGGGCCAGGGACTGTGGGGACGCTGCCAGCTGGGAAATGGACAACTGGAATGGAAGAAAGGTCAGGTGAGAACGTGAGATGCCCTCCTGTCCCTTCACAGTGTCCCTCCCACACACACTGGCCGAGGACACTCGGAACAGAGGACTCGGGAAACAGACACTGAGAGAGGGGGACTTCCACCAAGTCTCCTGACCAGTGACTGCCCTGGAACTTGGAAATGGTTTTAAATTTCTTCATTTTAATTACAGGGAGACATGATTTTGTAATTTTTCCCAAATTGTAATATTTGAATAAAAATGTGATTAACGAGGAAAAGATAGTAGAAAAAGAGAAAGGGTCAGAAAACCCAGGTTCCCTCCACTCAAGGGCTACAGGCATGCACTGTCTCTGAAACTCTTTGGGACTAGAACATCTCCAAGACCCCTTCCAACTCCAACACCTGTGTTCCTGTGCAGGAAGCCTCCATAATAAGGCAAAGACTACAGTGGCAGCTGACGAGGGCTCTGGTCACACACAACTGGAGATGGAATTTCCTGTCTGCCACTTAAATATCGTGTGACCTTGGGCAAATCATCTAACCGTTTTTTGCCTCTGTCTTGGAACCCTGGTGGCACAGTGGTGAAGAGCTCTGCTGTTAACCAAAAGGTCGGCAGTTCAAATCCACCAACCGCTCCTTGGAAACCCTATGGGGCAGTTCTACTCTGTCCTATAGGGTCGTTATGAGTCGCAATCTACTCGATGGCAGTGGGTTGGGTTTGGTTTGGCTTAACCACCTGTAAAATGGGAATAATAATAGCACCTAAATCACAGGATTACTGGGTGAATTAAGTAAGCTCATTCCTGGGAAGGGCTGGCACAATACCGAGCACACGGTAAGCCTCCCACAAATGCTGTGAGTATTCAGGAAGGTAACGCTGCTACAAAAGGCTGACAAGGAGATCAGGAGGATCCACACTCCACTGAAGACAGGTGTCTCTAAGCCTGGACTCTGTCTCCAATGTGCATAGCTACTCTGGATGCTCGCTGTCAACAGTGACAGCGGGCCCAAGGAGGGGCAGGCACAAGGAAGGACAACAAGCATGGCAGGAGGCACTGGGGCCCTGCTGGCCGCCCTGGGATGGGTGGACAGGAGATCTTTTCCTGTTGAGCTCTCCTCAGGCCCCCCAAGGTGGCAGGAGCCTGCCCTGCCTTTGGAAGTGGACAGCGCCACGCTGTGGTCTCTAGACACTCAGGGGGAACACGGAAACCACTACATGAGGATGCTGGATGGGCCAGCAGGAGGGCCGGGAGGCAAACACAATCTTCATTTCTGAACCTGCATCCAAGCTGCATGGTACACATTAAAGCTGCTTCCTGGGGATGGCATTTGATACGGGATTATTCAACCTTCCCAGAAAGTCACCTCTGAGCATGTTCAACCACACGGTGGAAGCCGGCCTGGGACCACCAGTGAGCACTCCAGGCGGTTCAAGGTCCTAGAGGGTGGCCAAGCGTGAACACGCCCCCACGGCACCAGCCAAGAGGCAAGCAAGAAGGAGCCTGTGTTCCCCACAGAAGCTTCTAGCATCCAGACATGTGCTGTCTGGAACACTGCCACCAGCATTCACGTCTCATTTAGCTGTGTCCCATCCCCACCAGGACCCACTGCTTGGCCTGTGGGGCCCAGCTGGTGCCCCGAGAAGGCTGGCAGCTCCCAGGCTGCTCTGGACCCTGGTCCTTGAGTGCCCCCCACTCCTGGCAGTGACTGGGAGAGGGGCTGTTCAGTCCTGACAGAGTCCCAACGACAGGACATAACCAGGAAGAACACATCATTTTTTAAAGGGTTGGAACATCCTCAGGTGAGAAGTCGGGGATCATTAGCAGTCAGCGGGGAGCCCCCCCCCCCGCCCCCGACAGCCTGGTGCTGCAGTCGGCACGTTGGGAGACACTGGGGAACTGCCAGGGCAGGTGAGGACTGGAGACATCCCCCTGTGATGGGCCCCTCTGCCTGGGCAGAACCCCTCCCCAGCCCCATGAAAGCCCACAGGAGACCAGCTGTTTTTAAAGATGTAGAATGATTTTTCTCACACTCAGAACTTTTAAATCATTTTTTTCTGGATTCTGAAATAAGCTTTTTCTCCTTATGCACGGGACGTAGCCTGGTAGCCAGGACTCACCCCTGGTCCCACGGGCGAATCCTGGGTGGCAGCAAGTCTCGAGGGTGGTGGTGCTGGAGGGCCTGTGAGGAAGCACAGGAATGGGGGTTCAGGGGGCTAGGCAGGCCCATCCCCCACCCAGCCAAGTCTTTGTCAGCTTTTCACCTCATCTGTAACTGAGGCTCGGAGCAAGAGAAGCACCAGCGCAATCACACACTGAGCTGTGGCTGTAAGACCCTTGGTTGGCTGGTAGCTGCCATCAAGTTGGCCTTTGACTCATGGCAACCCCATGCACAACGAGATTGAATTGTTGTGATTTATAAGGCTTTCACTAGCTTATTTTTGGAAGCACATCACCAAGCCTCTCTTCCTAGTCTATCTTAGTCTAGAAGCCCCGCTGAAACCTGTTCAGCATCACAGCAACCCACAAGCCTTCACTGGCAGACAGGTGGTGGCTGCACATGAGGTTCACTAGCCAAGAATAGAACCTGGGTCTCCCGCATGGAAGGTGAGAATTCTACCACTGAACCGTGGCCAGCATAAATTTAGATACATGGCAGCTTCCCTAAGCACCTGCTTTTAGTGAACGGGACTTGTGCTATATCTGTGAGGAAGGATGGCTGCACTGTGGGATACGTGTCCTTCTCCACTGCATCACCTCATCACCCCTGTGAGCTCATGCTTGTAGTAAGTGTGGGTTTAATGAGATATGAGATTCATCGGGACTAGAGGTTCTCTAACATGCTCACCCATGGCTTTTCCGCCTTCTTGTCAGCTCCACATTCCCTGCCTGAGAGGACCGAGTTGGCGGATCCAGGGCTCTGTGCCTCGGGCCGACACCACTGGGCAAAGTGAGAAACTTGCAGCCTATGCCCCAGCCAGGCTCACCCCACGCCTGGGCTCTTCTGTCACCCACAGCCCCATAACTGCCCAGGAAGCACAGCCTTTCCCTCTAAGGCCTGTCTATTGGTGGTGCAATGGTTAAGCACTCAGCTGCTAACCAAAAGGCCAGCAGTTCCAACCCACCAGAGCTGCTCAACTGGAGAAAGATGTGGCAGTCTGCCTCCATAAAGATTTACAGCCTTGGAAACCCTATGGCTCAGTTCTACTCTGTCCTATAGGGTCGCTATGAGTCGGTATCAACTCGACGGCAATGGGTATGGAATAATAAAAGGCCACTATAACTTTATCCTTCATACACGTTAGAAAATATGCAATCATGTGTTAACTGTAGAATTAAAAACATTTTTTTTAATTTAATGATCATATTAAGGCATGTCTTCATGTCACTGCCAGAGTCTGACACTGCTCTGGGCTGCACACATGACCCCAATCAGCACAGAACCGAGAAACAAGCTGCAAGCAGCTGGTCACTCCAGGTGCTTCTCCCAAACAGTGTACCCCTCTGCTCACAGCCCACCTGGCCAAAGGCTGGGCATCTTCCCCAGGGAACCACCACAACTGTCAGAGAAACCGCTCTGCCAGGGCAGCTCTAAGCAGGCACAGGGCCCTGGACACCTCTCGGGGTTGGGTTCCGAGGAACCAAGTGGCCGGCACAACCTCAAGTGCACGGAGCTGCTGGCAGAGACGATGGGGAGGCACTAAAGCAGGGTTTCCTCCAACACCAAAGCCAACGGGGATCCAGAAAGGGTCCACACTTTGTTGGAAACAAAGAAAAACTTAGATCCCCAGCTGTAGCAGGCTTCTCTACTTGTCCAGAGATTAATTTTCCTTGATGCTCTATTACTCCCCAAGCAGTCTCTCCACTCATTGGAACTGCTGCCAACAAAACCTCAACTGTCTTCTCCACTTTGCTGTCAGTTTAGCTTGTGTACTGGACTACAGCACAGGCCTCAGAGAGCACGGCCAGGGCTCCCCACTCTGCCCTGAACCTGGCCTTCCTCATCCTGCCTCCACAGTCCAAACTCCAGGGAAGAGGGAATGCTTTTCACGTCAGTGTTTTTTCAGACAGCACTTCTGGTGAGTTGAACGGCAAACACTACACTGCAGACAAAACACCGCTCAAGCATGGTCAGAGTGGGCACAAGACCCCCAGGACACACACGGGGCTCCTCCTCCACCCCAGGGAGGCCCTACAATTACACATGTCAGGTAGAGAAGGGAAAGGGGGGAAATAGTTCATCAGAAGGGTGACGATATTGATACCACAGCCACAAGTGGAGAGGGCGATCGGCAGACAGCCCAGGTCCCCCAAACCCTTGGGCACCTGGTCCTCCCAAAGGAGGGGGCTCCAAGCATTGCTTCTCCATCAGCCACCCACAGGGATCACAGCCTGAGCGCACGAAGCTATCGCCCACCACCCACACCACGGGGAGGCCGGCGGCGTCCTCTAGTGCCCCACACCAGCTGTTAATCTCACAGTCCTGGTGGCACCTGCCGGCCAAGTACAAAAGTACTGGGGCCACTAGGGGCTCAGGGTGCTGATACTGAGTGTAGACCTCCTGACCTGGGGTTCCACTGAGGGGCCACTCACCTCCCCAAGTTGTGCACTCTCTGTGCGCACGCTATCCCTCACAGAAAAGTGGAAATGCAAAACAAGGGGAACAGAAGCATAGTGTTGCTACTACCTTTACTTTCCTAGGCTCCCTGACAGACTTATCCAACAAATATCTTCTTACCATATGCCTGCGCTGCACTCGGGCCACAGAAAGGTATAAAAAAAATTAAAGATTGAGCAGAGAGGTCAGAGGCGTGGCGACACATCAGTAAACGTGGGTGGGGGCCCCACGGCACAGCCACCTTCCTGGGCAGGAGTGGGTCTGTGTAGAAGGCAGCACTGCAGCCCTGGATCACAAAACGCACGTTATTTCCTGAGAATGCTTTTGCTCAAACGCCCGCGACTCAATGTCACTGTTTGTAGACAGAGAGGATAACCAGCAAGCGGGAGCACAAAGAGGGTTATTCACTGAGGGTAACGTTCAGTCTGCTGCACTGACTGCCCAGTGGAACAAACCGCCTGTGTTTAACTAAAGGGTCAGTTCTTCGATGGGAGAGGAAAGGTCCTGAAGGAGAAGCCAGACAGTCTGCACAGAAGGCAGTTGCTTAGCAACTCACTGCAGCTGAGGCCGAAGGCAGGGGAAGGCCCAGGCTTGGACCAGAGCTGAGGTGGAGTCTGGCAACGTTAGAGAAGTAAACAGCTGGTGACGAAAGGAAGGGGCTCTCATGGTGAAAGACGCAGTCACTGCGATCTAAAGGATACCGTAAAACACAGCTTCCTATCATCAGACCTTAGATTAATCCGTACTGAGTGATGCTCGACACCAGAAAGCCACAAAGCAAATTGGTTGGAAAGGCCTGTATTCCTAATTATTTGGGTTTAAAAGGTCATTCTCCCCAGGACTTTGATCACAGGAACAGGGGAAATCAGCAGAATCTAAGAGATCAAAGTAGAACTCAATGACCGATGGGGCCTGGAGGCCCAACCTGGGGTGACCAAGACCACAAGGAGTAGGCAGTCCAGGGACGTACCCAGGGTCACCATCAGGGTCGGTCTGATAAGTGTGACCTCCTTCGCCTAGGCCTTTGCTCTGAACCACTTGCTCACGAACGTTCTCCAGCAAGACACACCTTAAATTACTCAACAGTCTGCACACCAGCTTCCACAAAGGATGACCAAAAAGCTGCTCGATGGCTTTAAACTCTTCCCTCTTGTTGTTGTTAGTTGCTGTTGAGTCAATTCTGACTCATGGCAACCCCATGTGTTACAGAGTAGAACTGATCTATGGAGTTTTCTTGGCCGTAAAATGTACAGAAACAGATCACCAGGCCTGTCTTCCTCAGCACTGCTAGGGGGGTTCGAACCACCAACCTTTAGGTTAGTAGCTGGGTGCAAACCACTTGCATCACCCAGGCTCTCTTAAAACCCTGCCCTACTGCTGCATAATTTACTGAATTACACCGACTCACGGCAAGGGAGCTGCCTGTCAGAGAGGATGCTACAGACGTCAATAGCACGGCAGGTCACAACAATGTCAAGAATAGAACTCAACATATTCTGAGAAACACCACGGTTGCATATTTTCAATGACCTCTGCTACATGGCTGTTTTCAAATCTATTAAGCAAACAAACTAAAATTCCGACAACAGCAGAGTATTCAAAAGCGAAATATGGGTCAGGGAAATTCCAAGTCACAAAGAATAAAGACTGAGCGCCCTCTAGTGGCCCCGTGCGCACTCGCTCACAGTGGATGATGAGTGGGCCTTGGGTGCCTTGTAATTTTATAGAAAAAATAAAAAGGATTATTCATAACCGAAAGCCAAAAGACCTCACTTAAAGTGACAGCCACATATCATTAAGACTTCCAGAGGACCCATATAAGTTGGTAAAATAGTGGAGCATGAGAAGTTTCCATCATAAGTTAAACACTAGTGATATTTACAAGTCTCTCATATTGGGTCTTGGGAGGCAATGTCTTCAAGTGCTTGGAACCTGGACTGACAGCGATTATACTAACATGACGTGAGAGCAGCGATAAATCCATATTAAACAAAGCAAATGAAATCAGGCTCCATCCATGCAGGTCTGCTGGTCCCCGGATAGGAACTGAGAAATGCATTATGTTGCTAGAGCACGTCTGCACAATAGTTCAATTCCTGACCCTCCAGCAACCAAAGTATACACTCCTCTCTGGCAGGGATGGAACGATAAATCTCTTGGTAAAGAACTAAAACTGTGTGTACCCAACAGCTCTGAGTCTTAGGGAGTCAAACTACTCTCAGTGTACATGAGAAGCTAATGGGATGTCGGCCATCATCCTGAAAGATGCTTCTCTCAGTGGGCAACTGCGTCAGTCTTAGAACCCCAAAGTGAGCCACTTCCCTGAGAGAGTCCCTTCCACTCCAAACCTCGACAGCACTCACTGCCCACAGCACCCCTAGGGCCCCAAGTGTGTCTGGCCTCACACTGTTGTCTCTCCTCTGTGCCCAGCCCCATCTAGATGGTGGGCTTCTTGAGAATAGGCCCGTTTCTCACTTGTCTTTGTATTCCTCCCACATGGCAGGAGGTACTACTGTCTATGCATCCACTGCTCAAAATGCAGGAAACACTGGTCAGAGCTGGAA